ACAGTCTACGTGTGCTTGGAACACAGGAACAGTCCTCCTCAGGGAAGAAATAATGCAGAAACCACCCAACTGTCTGAATCCTCAGAATGTAATTATGTGAAGAGATTGAAATGACAAGTTCACTTTTGAAGGTTTTGTTCTCTGTGACAAGGCTGAAGTTATCTCCTCTGCCGAAATGCAGAAAAACAGAATTGTAATGGCAATTAATTTACATTCAAATAGCTCTTTTCATCCACCTGGATCCTGCAGAGCCCTGAACGGTGCTAGCTGAGCACACGAGCAGGTGATGGGGCTCATTCATGCCATGGAGGCATGGGCAGCGTGGCAGGATGTTGGAGGCAGCTCCCAGGAGTCAGGGTGGATGGAGATGTCCGTGATCAGCTCCATGGAAAGGCAGTGTGTGCACGTCCTTTGGTGTCATGGGGTACAACAGCCAGCTCCAGTGCTCAGTGTCAGTCACAGCTCCCCAGGACCAGGGCCTGCGCCCTCAGGTCTGTGCTGATCATCACAACCCCAATGCTAGCCCTGCTCCTGGTGATCTCCATCTGAACCCCATTGCCCCTTCCATTTTCCTTAGCAGAACTCAGCTAGGCCTACTCCTCCTATCAGCCATGTCGAGCTTAGCAGCGTACTCCATCCTACGGTCAGGCTGAGCTTCCAATTCAAAACACGCCCTGATTGGGGCGCTACGGGTGGTGGCTCAAACAATCTCCTGTGAGGTCACCCCAGCTTCTATCCTCCTCTCTGTCGTCCTCCTCAGTGGCAACTGCTGGCCAGTGGAAACACTGGCTGTCCCAGGGGGAGACCTTCCCCCTGCCCAGAGCTGTCCTGCACAGGGATCCTCCCCATGGGCAGCTCCCATGGCACCCAGAGCTGTCCTGGCCCTGCACAGAGACCCTCCCCATGGGCAGCTCCCCCTGCCCTGTCCCTGCACAGAGACCCTCCCCGTGGGCAGCTCCCCCTGCCCTGTCCCTGCAGAGACCCTCCCCGTGGGCAGCTCCCCCTGCCCTGTCCCTGCACAGAGACCCTCCCCGTGGGCAGCTCCCCCTGCCCTGTCCCTGCACAGAGACCCTCCCCGTGGGCAGCTCCCGTGGCACCCAGACTGGGATCAGCCCCGTGCGATTCACTGGGCACAGGCGCAGGTGCAGCTGCCCCAGGGCATTCCCTGCACGGCATGGAAAGTCACAGCTGGCACACACCAGTGCAAGCCCCTCTGAGCCCATTCCTCTGGGCATTCATGAGTGCCCTGCTGCCAGTGCTGAGGAGTTGCTTCAGCCCATCTCAGACAATCGCAGGGTGCATTTCTCTGCTAGGAGGAGATGCCCCACATTGCTTCCTCACACACATATACGTATTTTTAATCTTTGTTTGGTGCAGAGGGAGACTCAAAGGCATTGGATGGTTGCCCAGCGCAGCTGATGCCAAATGCCAAAAATAGTGAAAAAAATGAAATCTTTTCTCCCTTATTGGCCTCAAATCCATTGAGAATGGGGGCAAGGAGATGAAGTGCACCTGCCATGACCATCCCTGCTGGCAGAGGGGCCAAGGACAGAGAAGCATGTCTCCCAGAGATGGTGCTGAGGCAAGGGGGTTCTGCTCCACTCCTGGCATTCCCTGCTGCCCTCTCTCCCCAGGGCTGCCCCACGCTCTCTCCAGGCACCCCAAGGCAAGGAGCACCTGGGGCTTGGCTGCTCTGAGAGCCTGAAGCAGCTCCTGGGTCTCACTCAGGCATGGTGGAGGGGAAAACAGAGGGGAAAACAGAGGGGAAAAGCAGGAAAAGTGAGGCAGCATTGGAAAAGTAACAGGCACCGCCAAAATGGGTTTCTTTGCTGCAGTTTCTCTCTCTCTGCTGGGCAGCCATGTTGTACACAAACCCACAGCACCTTCAGCTGAGTTTTCACAAAGTGAAGATCCCAGAGTTTTCTCTCTGGGCTGTCAGACAGATGCCAAGGGTGCCCAAGGGACCCGACCCTGTGTGCAATCCTGGGCTGAGCATTTTGCTGGCTCTGCCACCCTGCTAAAATGAAATGCTGCTTTGGGCTAACAAAAAGCAGCTGGCCATGCTAGCGGAGAAGGCTCCTCCAGAGCAGAGCAGAGCAGAGCAGGTCCTGCTCCCCTGTCCCCTGCCAGGGCCAGCTCTGGCCTGGACAGCCTCTCCCTCTGCCCTCAGGCACTCCTTGGCTTTATCACAGGTTAATTAGCACGCCAGTTTCTGCCTTTGCAATTAACCTACTTTAAATAAAGCACAAAAGATCCCTTGCAGAGGATCTGGGACAGCTGGAGTGGGCAGGAGCCAGCCCGAGCTGAGAGAGGCTCAGCACAGCTCAGAATATTCCAGACTCTCAGCCCTGTGTTGCTTGCTCCCTGTTCCCAGTCAGCACCAGGTATGCATTTCATTTCAGAGTTTCTCTTCTTTGTGATACATTTCCATAACTCGTTCATGCTGCCTTTAATGTTTTGCTGTATCCTGCCGTTCCCTCACATCCCAGACGTTGCTGCTCCTCCTTCCCAAGCCCTGTTCTTCCCCTGTGTGAAGGTCCCATTTGTGTTCTGGTTGCTCCTGAGGCAGCCCCAGCCCTGTGCTCCTCGTGCCAGTGGTCCCAGCGTGGTTCTGGAGGAGAGCTGCTGTCCCCAGCCTGTTCTCCTCCTGCCATCCTCACCTGCCCAGGTGTGTGTTGGATCCCAGCATGGTTATAAAGGAGAGCTGCTGTCCCCAGCCTGTTCTCCTCAAGGCATGCTCACCTGCCCAGGTGTGTGTTGGTCCCAGCATGGTTATAAAGGAGAGCTGCTGTCCCCAGCCTGTTCTCCTCAAGGCATGCTCACCTGCCCAGGTGTGTGTTTGCAGGGAGTCCCCATGGCCCCACAGAGGTTTTCCCCGCTGTTCTGATGAGAGCAGCCCTGGCCCAAGCCCTCCCTTCCCCGTTTCCTTTCTCCCAGAGATGTGCTGTTGGTGTCGCTGAGCCAAGCACATGTGTTTACTCTGAGCATAAATTAAGAGGGAGAATGACTTAATTAGAACTAAACATTAAACTAATTGCTTCCCATTTCAAAGACTTTGAAGTAAAAGCAGTACATGAAATTTTTCTCTTCTTGGTTCCTTTTCCCTAGCAGGCATCAGGGTTTGGGGATGCTGGAAGACGCCCTCTTTCCAAAACTTAACTATTTCTATAGGCAATTTGATCTTTTCCACACTTCTGGGAACTAACGTTGAGATTCTTGTTTGTACCTTCCTGACCTCTGAGAAGTGGCTGAGAGAGAGGGAGCCCTGCAGGATTCCTGCCTGAGCCTGGTCACAGACAGGGGTGGATTTGGGGAAATGCACAGAAAAAGGCAGGAAATCAGGGATGTTTCGCTGGTACAGAAGTGACCTGTGAGATGGCTGGGAGGGGGTGACCGTGGCTTGGAGAAGCTGCAGGCACTGTCCTCACCATGCCCCAGCACCTGGCAGCCTCCAAAGACAGGAGAAGGACAATCCAGACCTGCAGAGCCCCGTGAGGAAGAGCTGAGCATCCTGTTGTCCCTGGGCACTGCCACCTCAGCTTGCAGCTGCCCAAGGCTCCAGAGCTGGGGACAGCCCCAGCTCCCAGCTTGCCAGAGCGGAGATCACAGTGTGCCCCAGCTGAGAGGGCAGGATGGAGGCCAGCTTTTGGGTTAGCCCCTAAAGTGGGGGGCGCAGCTTTTGGGTATCCCCTGAGGTGGGGGCTCAGAATTTGGGGTATCCCCTAAGATGGGGGCTCAGAATTTGGGGTATCCCCTAAGGTGGGGGGTTCAGCATTTGGATTAGCCCCTAAAGTGAGGGCTCAGCTTTTGGGTTATCCCCTAAGGTGGGGGCGCAGCTTTTGGGTTATCCCCTGAGGTGGGGGCTCAGAATTTGGGGTGTCCCCTAAGGTGGGGGGTTCAGCATTTGGATTAGCCCCTAAAGTGAGGGCTCAGCTTTTGGGTTATCCCCTAAGGTGGGGGCGCAGCTTTTGGGTTATCCCCTGAGGTGGGGGCTCAGCTTTTGGGTATCCCCTGAGGTGGGGGCTCAGCTTTTGGGTATCCCCTGAGGTGGGGACTCAGAATTTGGGGTATCCCCTAAGGTGGGGGCACAGAATTTGGGTTATTCCCTGAGGTGGGGGCTCAGAATTTGGGGTATCCCCTAAGGTGGGGGCTCAGAATTTGGGGTATCCCCTAAGGTGGGGGCACAGAATTTGGGTTATTCCCTGAGGTGGGGGCTCAGAATTTGGAGTATCCCCTAAGGTGGGGGCTCAGAATTTAGGGTATCCCCTAAGGTGGGGGCTCAGAATTTGGGGTATCCCCTAAGGTGGGGGCTGCAGGGAGGCACAGCCCCACGCAGGGCTCAGGGACAGGCAGGGCTCAGCACAGCCGCTCTCTTAGAGCAACTTGGTCATGTCATCTGGGTCACAGTCAAGATCACAGCGTGCCTGCTTCCCTTCTGGGTTTGCCGTGTCTCTTCTATGTCACATTACTCTGCAGCAATGACACCATGAACCCTCCCTTCCCAAAGCCAGGACAAGGCTGGTTAATCCCACAGTCACACGTGTTACAGCAGGGATGGAGCCAGGGGAGCACAGAACCTGCACTCACCTCGCTCTGCTGCCTTCTCCTGGCAGGTGACAGCCACCAGCTGGGCTGGATGATGGCTGTGACCTCCAGCCCTTCTGAAATAGAAATACCTGGGCCATTAAAGTAGATATTGTGCTGCAGGAGCCCTTACAGCAGGCAATAAGATCCCGTGGGAAGAGCAGTTTAAGGCCTTAACTGTTTCTTAATATTCTTAAACAAGTTCAGCCTGCTTTTCATCTTGATACAAACTTAGCATTAGTATTTGGGAGCTTGTCTTCATTAGTAAAACCCATCAAGGAAGGATGTGGGTAGTTAATCCTAATAAATGCATGCTTGAGCCTTAGACCTCTGCATTTTTTCCTCACTAATTACGAATGCTCTTGGGGAGCTCTGTCTGTGCGGGATGAACGTCAGGGGCTGTTTCTGGTCCCCAGGTGCCACGGGCCAGGGCTCTGTACTCGTACCGCGGGCACAACCCGGGCGAGCTGCGCTTCAACAAGGGCGACACCATCGCGCTGCTGCGCCAGCTGGACGACGACTGGTACCTGGGCGAGCTGAACGGCGCCAGCGGCGTCTTCCCGGCCAGCTCCGTGCAGGTCATCAAGCAGCTGCCCCTGCCGCGCCCGCTCTACGGCCTGGAGCTGCGGGGCCGGGACAAGGCGGGCGGCAAGGACATCCTCACCTTCCCCAAGGTACCGCCCGGGACACCGGGACACCGGCACCGCCGGGCTCCGCAGCTCCCCGGCCATGGGAGCCCCTCTCTGAGGGTCCCCAGCCCCCTGCAGCTGCCCTGCCCTGCCAACCCCCAGGGCACGCAGAGTGGCACAGCTCCGGACAGGGACGGTGGCCCCGGAGGGTGCCAGCCCCGCGCTCGGGGCCGCGGCTCCAGAGACCTTCCAGCCCCCCCTCCCTGGCAGAATTTCCTTCCAGCCCCCCCTCCCTGGCAGAATTTCCTTCCAGCCTCCCCTCCCTGGCAGAATTCTGTCAGCACTGGTCTAGACATTAATTGTGTTGTGCACTTCAGCTGGAGATGCAGGGTGTACATGGCACCGGCACCAGTTCCTAGAAATAAAATTAATACTTGTAATGCCCATAATTACAGCAAGCTCTGCTTTGTGGCTGTTTTACAGGAGGACGCAAGCAAAACATCTTATTTGGAGTTCTAATATACTTTTTTTAATGCCTTTTCATTTAATGAAATCATTTGAGCTTCAGTAATGACTTATTCAAGTCTGGCATTGAGAGACACAAGTTAGTTAAGGGACACATACAGCCACCAAGGAATTAGAAATTAATTCTAGAGAAGGCAAAGGTAGGGCTACTGTGGGAAACACGAGGCTCTCCTGGCTCTGACATGCAGTTTGTGCCCCATTTTGTCATGTCTTCTGGGACTTGGACAGAAAAACATTTCCAGTTTGCTCACACACAGAAATGGCAGGATGGCCATGTGTACCTACACACACACTGTGGGCTTTAAGCCTTATTTTGGAGAGGGAAAATGAGAAGACCACCCCTGTTGTAAATGTCACTACCTGGGAGCCATCTGTACCTCCCCTGCATGGTCTCCCTGTCCATCCCAGGCATCGAGCGCAGTGCCTGCCACGAGTGGGTGAGAATCTCAAGTTTTGCAATTCATTCATGTCAGCAGTAAATCATGATTAATTCCTCTGGCACCCATGGTGGTGAAAGGGCTGTCACCACATGCCCTTTGCTACCAACACCCTGATCAGCAGTTTCCAAGAAGTACTGTGTGAGCACTGCCCGTATGCAAACTCAGGGCCTGCCTCTCCCTCGTCAACCCCAGCCCTTGACAAGCCGGGAGTTTTTCAATGGAGGCAGCACCGAGCCATGAATGTTCAGGCTGGCAGAGGTGGAACTGGGTGGATGTAATCCTGCTGGGAATGCCACCATCAGTGAGGGCACTGAGCCCGTGCCATCCCCTCAGCTGCAAGATGCACCCCCGTGTGCCAGCACAGACAGGGAAAGGGTGACGAGGCCAAACATCCCTTCTAATTCAGAGCTAGTTATTGAGTACAGCTCTCCCAGTACCTCTGCCAGCCAAAGCTCTGGACAATGAGTGTGTCAGGGGGAGCACTCATACTCACAACCCCCTGTGTCCTAGCACAAATTTTAAAAACCAATTTTAGTTTTGCTGTCAGCTTCGAATCGGGAGTTTTACACCCCGAGTTTGTCAGTGACACCAGCTGAGAGAAATGACAGAGCCCCAAGGTGTTAAAGGTAGCCTGGTAAAGGTAACGCCATCGGAGCCCCGGCTGCCAGAGGGAGGGGAGCAGAGCCCTGGGGGCAGTGCCGGGCACCGGGGGCAGTGCTGGGCACCGGGGCAGTGCTGGGCACCGGGGGCAGTGCTGGCACTGGGGGCAGTGCTGGCCCTGGGGGCAGTGCTGGGCACCGGGGGCAGTGCTGGGCACCGGGGCAGTGCTGGCACTGGGGGCAGTGCTGGGCACCGGGGCAGTGCTGGGCACCGGGGCAGTGCTGGCACTGGGGGCAGTGCTGGGCACCGGGGCAGTGCTGGCACTGGGGGCAGTGCTGGCCCTGGGGGCAGTGCTGGGCACCGGGGGCAGTGCTGGCACTGGGGGCAGTGCTGGGCACCGGGGGCAGTGCTGGCACTGGGGGCAGTGCTGGGCACCGGGGCAGTGCTGGCCCTGGGGGCAGTGCTGGCACTGGGGGCAGTGCCGGGCACTGGGGGCAGTGCTGGGCACCGGGGGCAGTGCTGGGCACCGGGGCAGTGCTGGGCACCGGGGCAGTGCCGGGCACCGGGGGCAGTGCTGGGCACCGGGGGCAGTGCCGGGCACCGGGGCAGTGCTGGCACTGGGGGCAGTGCTGGCACTGGGGGCAGTGCTGGGCACCGGGGCAGTGCTGGGCACCGGGGCAGTGCTGGCACTGGGGGCAGTGCTGGGCACCGGGGCAGTGCTGGCACTGGGGGCAGTGCTGGCTGTAACCCCTGCACCCCCGTACCCGCTGTTGTCTCTTGCAGCCCAGCACGGCCCAGCAGCTCCTGCAGGCCACCAAGGGCCACTGGTCGCCGCCGCCCCGGGCCGCGTCCCTGCGCCCGGCCAAGGCCCCCGCAGAGCCGGCGGCGCTGCCCAAGGCGCCCGAGGCGCGCAGGAAGAGCCTGCGGCAGTTCTCGCTCACCACGGCCCTCAACACGCTGAACCGCATGGTGCACGCCGAGCGCCCCGCGCTGCACATCAGCCCCCCCGTGCTCATCAGCTCCAGCAACCCCAGCGTGCCCACCCAGAGCTGCGAGAGCGCCGAGCTGCCCTGCGGCACCCCGCTCCAGGTGAGGCAGCGCGGCCGAACCGGGCTGAGCCTGGGCACGGGGAGCCTGGGCTGAGCTGGGCACCCAGACTGACCCTCTGGAATCCAGCTGAGCCTGGGCACAGGGAGCCGGGGCTGAGCCTGGGCACGGGGAGCTGCGGCTGAGCTGGGCACCCAGACTGACCCTCTGGAATCCAGCTGAGCCTGGGCACAGGGAGCCTGGGCTGAGCTCACAGCCAGACTGACCCTCTGGAATTCAGCCACTCCAGTCTCAATCCTTCTTCCCACTCTGACTGAAGATCTGAGCACAGAGGCTTCACAGATATCTGATATGGGAGAGGAAGGGTTTTACATTTATATGACATCTTTCATAGTGAAGGTTGCTCCCACCCTTTTAGAGCAGTCACCCAGCCCCTGGCAGTCCGTGTCCAGGCAGGAACACCCAGCGGGCACTTTGTCCTGAGCACCAGCCTGCAGAGAGCTGGGATGTGATATCCTGGGTTACAGAGGGGAAATGGAACCCTACAGGAGTTCCTTAATTCAACTGGAACTGTATCCTCTCTCACACCCCAAAAGGATCTCACCCAAAAGTCCCAGTGTGAACCACTGCCAGGAGCGAAATGAGAGAGGGGCCATGTTATGGTTTGGCCTCAGCAGGGTTGGAAATCTCTTGTTTCCAGTCTGCAGCGCTGCTCCCAGAGGTTTGCAGGGACCCTGCCGTTTCCGGGGCTGCGCAGGATCCCGCTTTCCTTTTCCATCCCTGGGTTTGGGCTGCAGTGACTGAGCTGCAGTGCTGAGATCCCTTCCCCAGCCCAGGTGGGCGCTGCCAGGGTGGCTGGGAGCCGAGGGAGAGGGGCTGCACCCCAGCACAGCCAGCAGCAGCGGGGCAAGGCCGGGCACGGGGGCCGTGCCAGCAGCAGCGGGGCAAGGCCGGGCACGGGGGCCGTGCCAGCAGCAGCGGGGCAAGGCCGGGCACGGGGGCCGTGTCAGAAGCAGCGGGGCAAGGCCGGGCACAGGGGCCGTGCCAGCAGCAGCGGGGCAAGGCCGGGCACGGGGGCCGTGCCAGCAGCAGCGGGGCAAGGCCGGGCACAGGGGCCGTGCCAGCTGCAGCGGGGCAAGGCCGGGCACGGGGGCCGTGCCAGCAGCAGCGGGGCAAGGCCGGGCACAGGGGCCGTGCCAGCTGCAGGGCTCCCGCCGCAGGACCCGCCCGCCTGGCACTGCCGGCGCCAGCAGCAGCTCGGGCTCCTCTCGGCCCATAAAAGGGAATTCCCAGCGCTGCCCCAGCTCCTCCCCCGGCTCCCGCTTCCCCTCGGCTGCCAAGCTCAGCTGGAGCCAGAACCGGTCTGCAGGGCTGCGGCGGCCGTGCCTGTGCATGTGCCTCTTGTGCAAGCGGCCGTGGGGCGAGGGCAGCGGGGCACCCACGCCCTGCTCTCCCCGCTGGAATCTCCTCCCAGCACAGCCCAGAGCTGATTCCCTGTGCTGGCAGTGCCGGGTGTGACCCAGAGCTCTGCTGTGCCCTGAGCTCGGGGAGGGAGCTGATGGACCCACAGCTGATGGACCCACAGCTGCCTCCTGCACACCCGGCTTTCCTGAGTGACAAATGTGGAGCTGGCGGTGCCCAGAGCCCCGTGCTGGGATGGGCAGGGCTCCCCTCCCCGCCAGGAGAGTCCCAGCAGGGCCTTGCCTGTGTCAGCAGTGCCGGGGTCACATTGGTGACGTGCTAGAAAGGGAGATGGAGAGAGAGAGGGATTTCAGGAGAGGCAGGGAATTAAACCCTTTGTACTTACAAGGGCTTGCAAGGTACTCGTGGGAGATCAGCAAAAGTGAGTGCTGAAATCAGTTATACGTGACTTGAAAACATTTCTCCCAATCTTTTTTCCCCCCTGTGTGTTGCAAATGCAAAGGCAGCTTTGAGGATGCTCTAAGTGATGACTGCTTCTGGACACAGGGGAACACGGAGATTGAAAGCATGGAGCTTTCCACACAGAATGGGACATTTCAACACAGTTCCATCAGGAAAACCAGCAAAAGGCTGTCATTTTGTTCCAATGCAGAAAAAAACAAACTCCAAATATCCAAATTTCAAACATTTTGATTATGGTAATTAATAAAACAGGATTATAATTTCCAGTCAACTTTATGAGCACCTGGTCCAATCCTGCCTGGACTAGAAAATGAGGAATGCAGAGAAGGTTTGAAGCTGACCTGCTACTCCAGGTCCGAGACAGAAGCTGGAGTTGCTGGGGTGTTTTAATTAATTTAATTTACTGGAGAGCACCAGGGCGGGTGAGTCACTTTACTTTTTCCCTAGGTCCCTGCCAAGGCAGTGCTCCAGCACCGCATTACAGACATGACCACTAGAAATTAGATTTGAAACGAACATGAGATTAAAGCCCCAGCTTGCATCATGAAGGTCCTGTGGTGGCTGCTGGAGAGCGCAGCTGCCGCCACATCCAAGCGCGGCGCGTTCCGCTGCCCGGAGCTGCCCGGGGAGCCGCTGCTGTCACCAGGGCTCGGAGCTCCGTCCTGGACAGGGCCACGGTGCTGCTGCTGCCGCCAGGGCTCGGTGCTGCTGCTGTCACCAGGGCTCGGAGCTCCGTCCCGGACAGGGCCACGGTGCTGCTGCTGACACCAGGGCTCGGAGCTCCATCCCGGACAGGGCCACGGTGCTGCTGCTGACACCAGGGCTCGGAGCTCCATCCCGGACAGGGCCACGGTGCTGCTGCTGCCGCCAGGGCTCGGAGTTCTATCCCGGACAGGGCCACGGTGCTGCTGCTGCCGCCAGGGCTCGGAGCTCCATCCCGGACAGGGCCACGGTGCTGCTGCTGTCACCAGGGCTCGGAGCTCCGTCCCGGACAGGGCCACGGTGCTGCTGCTGTCACCAGGGCTCGGAGCTCTATCCCGGACAGGGCCACGGTGCTGCTGCTGTCACCAGGGCTCGGAGCTCCGTCCCGGACAGGGCCACGGTGCTGCTGCTGTCACCAGGGCTCGGAGCTCTATCCCGGACAGGGCCACGGTGCTGCTGCTGCCGCCAGGGCTCGGAGCTCGGTCCCGGACAGGGCCACGGTGCTGCTGCTGCTGCCACCAGGGCCCAGGGCCCAGCAGGGCACGGCCAGTGTCCTGGCGACGCGGTGTCGCCTTGAGCGAGGGCAGGGTTGGTCCGGACGGGAAGGAGCCGCTGCTGGTGCTGCTCAGCCCGGGGATGCTTTGAGCTGCGGGAGGGACAGCCCGGCAGAAGGGACAGAAGGGACAGAAGGGACAGAAGGGACAGAAGGGACATCACCATCAGCCCAGCAGGGAGATGAGGAGGGACAGGGAGAGGGACCAGCCCAGCGCTGCTCGTGGCCTCAGGGGCAGAGCAGGGACAAGGAGCCACCCTCTGGCGCAGCTCAAGGCACAGTTATCCCAGAACTGGGGCTGCAATTCCTCCCTGGAACACCAGAGACCCTGAGAGAGGCCGGAGGGGACACTGTGGCAGATGGTACCACCCTGCAGATGCAAAATGACAGCGGGGAAAGGACCAGGATCCATCGCAGGGTCTCCATGATCCTGGAGGTCTCTTCCAGACTAAACGATTCCATGATTCTGAGTCTTCCTCTTGCTGCCTGGTCCTTTTCTAAGTCAAATGCTCCAGACTCTTCCATTTCCTGAAATGTCTCTGGTGGTTTTTTGAAGGGTGGGTGAAGCCAGTCAAGTGTTACTGCTCCTCCAGGGGCTGAAAGAAGCCGATAACCAGATTAATGCTTTGTGTTCTCTGTTTCCTTTCTCCCACAGGTCTACCCCACGCCAGGAGCACTGGGGCCCCCGGCAGCCATCGTGACCCTTCCCCACCTGCAGCACCACGGGCCAGCCTACCTGTACGTAGGGGAGCTGGGGTATTTGGGTGCCATTTGCTGTGGCCTCAGCTGGAGCCTCAGGCAGGAGGTGCAGACAGCCCGGAGCACGGCTGGGATCCAGGGCAGACCCATGTGGGAATGGCCCTGGCTGCTCTAAGCCGGGGTGGCAGAGATTCCAGAGCTGAGTGCATCTTCCTGCCTCACTGCAGGTTCAGTGGAGAAACGGTTCTGCCTGCTTGCTGACAATACAATTTAATTCAAGTGTAAAGAAACTAATTACTCCTTAAGTGCCTCTAGTTATTTATCCTGAAACCTTCATGGCCACTGGTGTTTTGAACAATCCAATTTCTGAAAACTTTCACAGAGTTAAAATTTGCAGATAACGCTCTATGATCATTACATCAAGGTAAGAGTCACCACCCTGGCATTTAGTAAGGCATCTGAAATAACAGCAGCATCACAACACGCTGTTTACACAGCACCTGGTGCAGGCCAGGCCATGGGAATGCTGGTGCCCAGAGCAGCACCCACAGCTCAGTGCTGTGCTGGGACCCACACACACCACCATCAGTCAGCCAGGACTCCAGCACACAATAATCCAAGGGACAAGAGAACGCCCAAGACCTTAAAACAATTTGCAGAAGGATGGTGTGAGAGCGTGGCGCCAGCTGCCTGGTGCGCACAGGGGCAGTGCCAGGGCAGCCCTGCAGGGCCTCCCCTCCAGTGACTCTGACAGCCTGGGCAGCTCCTGAGCACACCCAGAGCCCACCCGGGCCGTGCCAGCCCCACGGAGCCGCCCCACACTCGCTGCCCCAGCAGGGCACGCCTTCAGGTGCTTGTGCTGAACTGCAGGGAGAGAGAGAGAAACCCTCTGAGAGCCCTGGGGCAGCCCTGACTATCCCAACACCCCATCCATTGTTTGTTTTGTAAATAACACCTGATACTTGTGGTGTTGGGCTGCAACTCATTGATTCTTGGAGCAGATCACATTCCCCTTGAAAAAAACAACAGTGCAATTAAATGTGTTACACTGGAGACAAATTCAAGTTCTTTAAGGAACAGATAGGGAAAAGTTTTGAAAAATGCACCGTTTTCTTTTGCTGCTGTTTTGCTTTGTGCTCACACGTGGGTCAGAGGGAAGAATGAAGCTTCAGTTCCTGGTCCCAATCCCAGAATTACAAAAGAGAGATCTAGGGGGGGATTTCAGAATAATTTCTAGTCTGATTTCCTCACTATCCTGGAGTGGGGCCATGTGCTCTGTCCATTCTCCGTGGCCTCCAGTGGCTGCCACTGCTGTCCTTGTGCTCCAGGCAAGGAGGAGGAGGAAGGGAGGAAGGAAGGCAGGGCAGGAGTCGTGCTCTTCCCTGGGCCTCCAACACCTCCTGCTGATGCTCCAGGCAAGCAGATCGAGGCCTCTGGTTTCAAAGGCAGAACTGCCTGATGCTATCTTGAACACGGCACCATAACTGTGCTCTTTCAAGAGCTTTGCCTTAGGACAGGTACTTGTCAGGCCCTGATCCGTGTTTCTGATGGAGCACTCGCTGTGTGAGGTGCAGAGCAGCAGTTTCCTCCTCCCCAGCACTTGTCACCCTGGGCTGGCACTTCTGGGAGAGAAACTGTCCTCATGAGCTGCTTTGTTCTGCATTCCTGCTGGCTCTTCTCTTATCCACATCCCCTTTGGCCTGAGGTGACAAGCGCTTTCCTCCGTGCGAGTTCTCTCCAGAAACGCTCGAGGAAGCCCTGGCTGAAGGGCTCAGAGCACAGCCAGGGCTTCCTTCCCCTGCACTGTTAAACTGTGGAGCTCTGGCACAGCAGCAGCCTCCTCCCCTGTACTGTTAAAGCACAGAGCTGCGGGATGCTCCAGGCCCAGCAGCAGCCTCTCCCCTGCCCGTTAAAGCACACACAGAGCTCTGGGGTGCTCTGGGCACAGCCAGCAGCCTCTCCCCTGCCCAGTTAACCCGTGGGGCTCCGGGGTGCTCCAGGCACAGCAGCAGCCTCTCGCCAGCCCGTTTAACCACAGGGCTCCGGGGCGCTGCAGCCGCCCTGCCGGGCCGCTCTCCCTCCCCTCACGGCCTCTCTCCCCAGGTGCGTGGCTCTGCACTCGTACGCGGCGCACGGACCGGACGAGCTGGAGCTGCAGAAGGGAGAAGGGGTCCGCGTGTTCGGCAAGGAGCAGGACGGGTGGCTGCGGGGCATGTCCCTGGTCACCGGCAGGGTCGGCCTCTTCCCCAGCAACTACGTCAGCCCCCTCTTCAGGTCTGGCGCTTCTTACATGAAAATAAACGGGGAGAGGGAAGGGGGTAACAGAGAACTTGGGGTCTTCTTGTTTCCGCGGAGAGCCCGTGGCAATGCATTCCCCAGTTCTGGCTAGGGACCCCCCAGGACTGAGCAGGGCCTGCGGTCCCTGGCCAGGTGGGATGGCACCCGGCAGCCCTCGCCCTTCTTTTCCAACAGGAAATCCAGTCTCACCGACTCGAAGATGCCTTCCCTGTACACCTCCTGGACCCTGTCCACGTCCTCGCTGTCCTCGCAGGGCAGCGCGTCCGAGGGCGGCCCGCGGCAGAGCCGGGCCCTGCGGCCGCTGCTGCTGCCCGTGCCCATCCCGTGCCCCGGCCGGGCCCCGGCCCCGCTGCGCCGCGGCCGCGGCAGCGCCAGGAGGAGTGAGTGAGGGGGAACAGGGTCACATCCCCCGGCAGTGAGTGAGGGGGAGCGGGGGGAACAGGGTCACATTCTCCAGGAGGAGTGAGTGAGTGAGTGAGTGAGTGAGTGAGAGGGCTCGGGGGGGGAGCAGGGGATACATCCCCCAGAGGACACCAGTGCTGCGGTTCATGGTCCCTCAGCCCCGCCTGGCCCCGACTCTGGGGAATTCGGGAATTCCAGGGGTGTGACTCAGCACGGAGAAATTCCTGCAAAGCTTTGTGCAGAGCTCGGTGGTTATATTCTCTACAAGGAGGCAGCAAGGTTTTGTAATACACTTCCGAGTATTTGGGGAGCCGGGTGTGCGTTCCCAGCTCTGGCAGCAGAGCAGCTCCCGCAGGCAGCAGTGCCCCGGCTGGGGCCGCTGTCAGAGCTTTCACACCCGAAATGGGTCCCGGGGCACAGGGGCGGGCACGGGGCGATCCCTGGAGGCTGCGGCCCCGCAGGATGCCGCGAGCGGGGCTGTCGGTGCGGGGCTGGTTATACCCGCTGCTCTCTCTGCACATTCTGGGCTCCTGACTGAACGCCTTTCCGCGGTCCTTGCTCCGCAGACGGATCCCTGCAGAGGCCGGGCCAGGCGGGCACCCCCGTGCCGATCACCGGCTCCCTGCGGCGCCCCTCGGCTGCGGGCCGAGCTCAGCACTTGCAGCTGTACCCGCACGGCGTCCCCGGCACGGACGAGACAGCGAGGCCGAACCCCTCCTATGAGGCTGCCCCGGCGCTGCTGGTCAGGGCAGGGGAGAGCCGGAGCCCCTCGGTGTGCAGCTCGGTGATCCTGGACGCCAAAGAGCCCTCGGTGAAGAGCGAGGCCGCTCCAAAGCCGCCGGCGTCAGCCCCGCCGTCCATCCTGGTGAAACCAGAAACGTCCCGCAACAGCGCCGAGAAGGTACAGAACCCCCCCCCTGCCCCAGAGCATTCCCCGGAACCGCAGCAGCTGCCACAACCAGCCAGGGCCAAATCCCGGAGGGCTCTGCTCCATCCTCACCAATTTCTTCCGATAGAAATCGAGGGGATTGACACACGCCTTAGGAAATCGGGGTTTGGTGCTGCTGCTCAGATTAGGCCCTGAGGAAAGGCAGGCGCTCTGTCCCTGTCACCCAGCTCAGTCACAAGCAAATCTCGAGACTTTTCTGAGGTCATAAATTGAGCAAAAATCTGTGAGTTTGGGAGCAGCGCCACAGAACTGCTGTCAGGCAGAGCTTTGCAGAACTCCCCCATCTCCCTCATGTCACTCGGGCTGAGCCATTTGGAATGGGAATTTCTTTCCCATTTGGCAGCCAGAGATAAATGTCATAAAGCTTCCCTCTCCCATAGTACCCAGAGCCGTGCCCAAATCGTTCCACATGCCCCCAAAAGCCCAGCCAGCCTCAGGGCTCCCGGGCAGCTCAGCATCAGCATCAGCATCAGCTGAGGGAGCCCGCGGCTGTGCCAGGGCAGGAGGGGCCGCAGCTCCCGGTGCTCCCAGAGCAGCTCTCCTGGGTCTGCGGGGCTGCCGGCACCGCTGCGCTGCTCCCCGGGGCTCTCTGCCGCCAAAGCATCGCCCTGGGCCGCTCTGCTGAGCCCCGCGGGGCCCGGCCGCCCCCCGAGCATCCCCCGGTTCTGCAGGGGCAGGGCAGGGCAGGGCAGGGCGGGCTCTGCAGTGCCCACCTGACTCTGGCCCCTTCTCGCTGCAGCAAGTGAAGACGGTGAGGTTCCAGAACCACAGCCCGCCGCCGCCCAAGCGGCACAGCCTGCAGCCCTCGCCGAGGCTGGCCCGCAGCAGGACAGAGCCCGGCCCCGAGGCGCTGCTGCCCGAGCCCCGCCTGGGCCCCGAGCTGCTGGTGCTGTACTCGCCGCGCCTGGGCTCCAGCCCGCTGCACCCGCGCCGGGCGCTGCACCCCAAGGCGCTGTCGCTGGATCTCTCGGGGCAGCTGACCTTCCCCATCAAGAAGAGCTACAGCAGCATCTCGGCAAACTGAGCGGGCAACGCGCGCCTGCCTGCCCGCCCGCCTTCCTCCCCGCTGCCGCTCCTCTCCCTCGGCGCCCGGCCCCGCATCCCGCCCCAGCTCCCGGGGCAGGGCCCGCTGCTCCCGCACCGCCGGCGCCTCGGGGGCTGGGGCACCTCGGGGGGACCCCGCAACCCAGGGCTGCCCGAGCAAGGGCAGAGGTGCCCGAGCGCGGGAGAGGTGCCCGAGCCCCAGGGCTGCCCGGCTCCGCGGCCCGAGCAAGGGCAGAGGTGCCCGGCACCGCGGCCCCCGCAGAACCGACGCTCCCCAGGTCTCTGCCCGCGCTGCAGCACCGGAGCAGCGGCAGGGCGGGAAGCGTGCAGGTATCGGAGGGAGTTACACTTGCTTTGGTCTCCTCAGGGCTGCAGGAAGCCCACAGAGATCAAACACCGGCTCGTTACCTGCCTGCCTCAGGATAAAGAAACCATAAATCAGAATCAGTCAGCTCCTGGCTGATGGTTCATGCTGCCTTTGAGGGGACGGGGTCGCTCAGATTTTTTGTTAGGGTGGTTGCTTGCTTGCTTTTCTCATTGGTTTTAGCCCAGGAATTTTAACACAGAAGCCTAAAAGGTGATTTGGAAGGCAAAGAGCCAACGGAAGGGGCTTTGCCATCGCTGCAGTCACCCAGGCCCTGCAGTGAGGGCACTGAATCTCCCTTCTCCTCAATGCTTGTTTTCCTCTGGTCACCTGTCAGCTACCTCCTGCCCCTGAGCTCCTTCCAGCCCTTCCCACCACCCGCCCACTCAGATGTGGCTGTTGTAAATATCTCAAGTGGGATTCATGGGTTTCAGATGCATGAAACACTGTCTATGTAACAGAGAGCAGAACTCGGAGCTCACCGCTCTGCCCCAGCAGCCCCAGCTCTGGTCTGCAGCTCACCCCAGCCCAAGCGCTCTCCTGTGAATCCCAGCGAGGCCAGCAGAGCTCTGCTGGCTCCAGCTGTGCCTGCTCTGTGTCAATCTGCACAGCAGAGTTCGGTTTTCACGCTTAGTTTCCATTGCTGGTTTATCCACGGGCGGTTCCCAGCCCAGCTGCAGGCACCGGCCGCCCCCTCCTGACAGGAGGAGCTGTGCTCCCTCCAAACCTGCCCTGAAGTCCCATCCTCGCTTCCCTGCAGACAAACGCGGGGAAGGAACTCCACTGGTCAATGGAGACTCCTCAGAGAAGGACATTTTTCCTAAAACCGCACAAAGGGAATGGATAAAACAATTCACTGTGCCGCAGCCCCTGGACCTTCCCTCCTCCAGGCTTCCTGTGTGTGGAGCAGGAAAGCCGGGCCTGCCTGCGGGGATTTTCAGTGGCACAGCGACCTCCAAGGCGCAGAGCTGCCCTCACTCTGTGCCCTCTGCCAGCATTCCTGCAGAAACCCCCGGCAAGCTGAAAGCATGCGCTGTGTCCTGGTGTGAAAGGTGGCAGCAGCTGCAAAATGAGGGTGAGTCCGGCTCAGCCATGGCACCTCAGACAGCTGAATGCCTCGGGGAGACGTGCTGGCTCTGCGCTCGGGACTCCTGACATCCTCCTAGAGCTGAGCCAGAAAGCAGCTGGCTCTGAGACACATCCCCACATCCCAGCACAGCCAGAAATGAACACAATTGCACTAACCCATCAGCCCCTCTCTCCTTCTGGGAGCTAAGAATGCAAGCACTGGCTCCAAACGTTTCAGTTGGAAACCCCAGAGCAGCCTGGGACTGTGTAAAATCTCTGCTTTGTCATTCTTAGGAGGTTTATTCACTGCCCGACAGTCATTGCAGTTAATTTGTGAAATGAGTATTTGAAGTGCAATCACAGCTGAAGACTTCTCAGGTTGTTACAAACTTCAGCATCTGTCCCATTTAAAAAGCAACACTTCCAAATATTCACAAGATCAGTGTTCAGAACCCCAAACTGTCCGTGCAGCCCGTGGGAGCTCCCCAGGCTGATCCCTTTGCAGTGTTCCCAATGGGAAGCACTGATGGATCCGAGCCTGCCTGGGGACAGCACACAAGGGACCCCGAGCCAGGCTGGGGAGGGCTGGAGGGGGAAATGATCCATCCACACCGAAGGTACAGCCAGAACGGAGCCTACGGGCAGGAGGGGTCAACAAAAATTCCCTAATCCTTCACATGACCTAGCAGGGAGTTCCACTGCCTACTTTCTGCATCCAGCCCAGGGAATGCTCCAATGAAATGTTACAGCCACGTCACCACCAAGCGAGAAATCATAAATTACTATTTTTACATTATATATCTTAGAAACAGTAGGATGTATAACATTTGCTTAGTTGGTGATGGATAGGAAGAACAAATAATGTTTAGTTTATTGTTCAGAGACACTTGTACAAATTCAGGGATGCTGAATATTTTTTCCATGAGGCGAAGTTCATTTTTTAAAAAGGTTTTTTCAATTTAAGGTACTATTTGGGAGAAAAGTCAATAAACAAGAAGATATTAGTTTCCTGTTTTGTATTAATCCTCAGGCTATTTATTTTGTATTTCTGTAAAAAAAAAAAGCAATGGTTTAAAGACCTTTTAAGTTTTCAGAAGTTTATTCATCTAAGTTTATAGCACTAATGCTTAGCTCTGTAGCCTGTAGATAATTAAGTTAATTGGGGCCAGATGGATTACATGGATTACAGCCCCTCATGCACTGGGGGGTGCACTGGGGAAAATGGGGCTCAGGAAAGATTTGGCACCCACCGTGTGAGACACCAGCCTGTGGGAGCTGCTGTGGCACCATTAAAACTTTTTGCATGAAAGCATGTTTATTTTCCCTTTCTTATTTCAGGGTTTGCCTGTTGGGAACAGAGGGCAAGGGGAGGGTGAGAGGGCCACTGACTGTGGGTATGAACTGGAACAAAAGCATCCTGAGGCAGTACCCAGGGGAGAATAAACCATGATGACATCCCATGTGTCAGAAGGACTTAGAGGCAGCACAGGTGACACCATCCTGGTCCGTGCCTTGTGTCACACCAGCTCCCACCTGCCAGGGCCACCCCTCTCCCCACCCAGGCAGCCCCAGGCTCTGCAGTTAAAGCCTTTGGCTCAATCAGCTTTGGAGGGAGCTGAATGCAGCCAAGAAGCAGCACAGCTCCCTGGAGCAAGGAGTGCAATTCTAAGCACAATTTGTTCCTGAAGACCCTGCCCACAGCTGGAAAAGCAGGGTCTCCAGGGTAACTTTCTTTCAAAGAGAAGCCAAAGCACCACAGGAAAATAATTTTATTAAATCCCTGTTTAATAGAGCAGGGGCAACTCACATGTGAACTCAGGTTGGTTTGGGTGGGCTTTATTGTTTTACAGAACAAATTCTGCCCTTTGTTTAATACAAATGCTTCCAAGTCCCTCCATGACCCTTCTCACTGGATACGCGGCAGTTCAATGGACCAGGTAAACAATGGTGTCCCCAATGTCCCTTGTCAGGCCGTTCTCAGTGACACAGACGTGCCTCTGGGCCAGGTCAATGTGGAAGATGGCTTGCTCCAGGATTGGAGATTTCCCTGCTTCCTCTTTGCCGAGCACTGGAACGCGGCGGGGCCCAAGCACGGGATCATCAAACCTCATCAGCTTCACTTTGGAGAGATCTGCACAGAGACAGCAGCTGCTCAGGCCCTGGGAGCTGCACACAGGCCACAGCACCCACAGAGTTAAAACCCACAGCAGTGCTGAGCCCTTGGAACTTCCCACCTGCTCCAAGGAAACGTATTCTCGTGGGAATACCTGTCCTGCTAAGGTTTACGCCAATATAACAATGTCCTTCAGGGGTTACACAGCGAGTTACCAACAGAAATGGGGATAAACCACACAGAAACACCAGCTCCTAATACCACATTCCAAGCCCTGAACTTGCTTTATCTGGCTCAGAACAGGTCTGAGTAACTGCACAGTTATTCCTCATTTTCTGAGGAATGAACTGCAGAGACTGGGAGGAAGAGGAGGGTGAGAATTGATTTCAGTACAACTCCCCATCAAAAGGCAGACTGGTAAGACTGCTAAGCAGACCAAGAAGCCTGAGACCCTTCAGCTGAGCCTTCCTGCAAGTGCAGCCTCCCAGCCCTGTGCTCCCAGCACACTGACACCTCCTGGAGACAGAGGAGTCCCTGTTTCCCCTCCCTCACTCCCAAAGCTGCACCCAGGAGCGGGCAGTGACTCCCCCCCTGCACACACAGGGCTGTCCCACGTCTGTCCCACCTGTGAGCACCCCCAGCACCGGCACAGCCGTGCCCTGCACTGCAGGCTACCTTTGATGCCCCTGTCCATCTTCATCAGGCGCCTGACGATGGTCTCTCTGCTGTCCCCCTGCCTGATGTCCATTCTGGTGGAGAAGTGGCCGTTGCAGGGCTGAGGGTTCACCAGGAACACGGGCACGCCAGGCTGTGAGACACAACACAGACCTCAGAGGAGAACGTGCTCTGATCCCTCAGGAGAAACGTGCAACTACACCAAACAACCTTCTGCTGTTCATGAATCTTCCAGAGGAATCAAACCCCTTTAGGACCCTCCTGGCCATGCTGGACACCAGCACTGCCCCAACTCTAAAATGCAGCCCAAAGTGAAACAATTGTTTAAGACATCTTTAGGGAATGACATTTTCACTTTGCAAGTAGAAATATTCATACATGATAAACATTCATGTCTGATCAAAGTTTTTAAATGGCATATTTTAAAAAACCCAGACAAAAGTAAAGTTTCAATTTAAGTTTTTTAATTAAGTTTTCAGATTTTCAATATCTGAATTTCTGATTTTACCTCAGTTCTGAATACAGAAAATGGTTTCCCAGGACAGCACTCTTCTTTGATTTTATCTTCTGCTTCAGAAGCAAACTTCACCTCAATGTGATCCAGCTGTAAAAGAAAAAATCGGGGAGGAGGGAATAAGCAGGAGTTTATTTGCTTTAGAGGGAGCAGCAGAGGCTACAGCCCCATCAAACAGCTGCTGCTCCAGCCATCCCAATAAATGCCAAGCAGTAGGTGCCAAGTCTGTACCAACCTCCAGGGAATTTGTCAAATAGACAATGTTCTCCATGAGCACTGCACGCTCATCAAACTCCAGCTCGAGATCAAGAACACGAGAACCATTTTTCTCCAAGTTTTCCTGTGGGGGGGAGGGAAAAAGTATTAAAACCCTCCAAAGGCTGCAAGCAAAATGATGC